CCGACTTGCAGAGCCTCAATTACATTTCTGTAACTCATGTGCTTACGAATTTGTGATTGCATAAACGTTTGACTTTTATGCAAAATGGTGATAGTAGCTGAGTATTACGGAAGTTGTTTCTTGCAATGATGACCTTAATTCGTAATTTTTCGTTTGTAAGTAGGCTTTCGAGACTTCCAGTAGATCATATATATGAGCTGTATTGACCCTCTCTAGTTTTAGGGGGTATGAGGACTAACAGCTGAATTTTCCCATAATGCTATAAGTAGATCTCAACTTAATATTGAATTTCACATAATGTTGCCTTCTCAAAATCAGGTTTAATTGGGCTGCTGTCTCAAACTTGTCTCAACTCTTCTAAACAGCACCACCAAGGGGACGCTAACCATGACATTGTAGCGTATAATCACAAGTTACTGACTACTCCACGTTGAGCAGAGTGCCGTTGAGTCAAACTTATATTAAAGTTTCCAATTACGTAGCTCCCATTCTACACTTTCACGGTTTGACTCCAGCTGGGGGTATTGGAAAGACCGATGCGAGGTCGAAACTGCAGTCCAGTCCAACCGGGATGAGAACAACTTTTGGGAAAGCAAGGATATGTAGAATTAAATGGAAACGTTAGCTCTACTCATATCATCACCTTAAACGAAATAGGGTAAATACATGTCATATCACTGATTTACTGGTAGTCTCGAAACTCTACTCCAATACGAGAATAGGTATGTAAATACTGGCAAAACTATCATTTCGTTTAAGAAAGCGAGTGTAAGAGATTCGTAGATTAATCTGACCGGATACCGAAGGAAGATTGCCTTGGACTTTTGCCGATTGAAATTTGCGAAAAAGACCTCGGCTCACTGTCATATCACCTAGATGACGCGGAGCTGAGCTTTCGTCTGTCCCATTTCGATGGACATTGTCGGAGCCAGATATCATTATTAACGAGTAATCACTAAAAGCACTAATTGAAGAAAGGTGGACGAAGAAGATCATATCTACATCTTATAGCTCACTTTGCGATCTTAATGAGGCATGTCATGATTTTGTTGGTGACTTTATGCTTATGCGAAATGCATCTAAGAGAGTAAAAGTGATGCAGGACGAGAAGCAAGTGTGGTCACAGCTTTTGATTATGTAAATAAACTAGTGTATGATGCTATAATCTTGGAGTTTGTTATAGCATTCGTGTGTGTATGCAACAACCACTAATTGGTTGGCAATTTAGGTTCAAAACCAGACTCCAACTAAGCCAATTCTTCTCCTAATATTTATATGGTTTATCCTGTTCTTTTTCCTTCCCTCTTTTTGCTCTCTTCAAATCTATGCAGCAGCCAAAGATAGTTCATACTTAATTCCATACACTCGTTCCTATTTTCAAGTATGTTTTTTGTTTTGTTAATTTCAATGTTTGCTATTCGTTAGCCTCATTCTTCTCAGAATCATTGACTTAATAATTCCAACCTTAGTCTTGTAACTATGGCTGGAAAGAAAATTAAGCAAAGAGCCAGCATACATTGGTTTCCTATAAACATCTCTTCATATCTCACCCTCTTCTCTAATGCTGAGAACCTTCACAAAGGGTAAGGACTTCTTCTCTTCCATTTCCATCGTGAACCTAATTTTCCTTTCACGCTGGTTGAGTCAAAGTAGGAAACTATCTAAACTGTCCTCATCATGAGGCCAGATGACAAAATAGTCAACCTTGTATCTAACCCACAATTTGGGGGTTAGTATTGCCTCTTGCAGGAAGTGTTCCTCCAATCTTGCCATATAATTGTTCGCTAA